GGCTCGCCTTCGCGACCAAATATTCATATACTAACCTAACCTAACCGATCTAAATAATAATTGTTTATTCAGCCCCCAACCCCTTCTTGGTCGCCTTCGGCGACCAAATATTCATATACTAACCTAACCTAACCGATCTAAATAATATTTGTTTTTTGGACAGCTCGGCGCTAGGAATCCCTCCACCCTTACGTACCAAAGCACAGGCATTATATATCCTCCCGCCTCCGATTATTTATATACACTCTGGGGTAAGACAGACAAGACCACGTAGATAGTGGGGTGCTCTGATTCGGTTTTGGGTACTTTTGGATATTAAAGTAAACACTTTATTCTAGTAAAAATTAAATAATATGAAAGTTGCAAACAATGAAATACAAGTACTAATTAGGAAATACAGACGAGTAGGTATCGATAATTTCAAAAATTTTCGGATCCCTATAATCTATCAACACGAAATTAGGTTAATTTCAATGTTGATTATTCTATAACTTTAAATTTCAAAAATGAGGAAATAATCGATAAATAAATAAAACGATTAGTAACAATCGATAAATTAAAAAACGATTTTTAAAGTGAACGTCACTCTCTTATAACCAATAGAAAAGTAGAAAATGGCGGATTGTTTACAAATTTCAATACATTGCACAAAACTTTAAATTTTTTTAAATACTTAGACCGTTTCCTGTACAAAACTCACTTGGGGTGTTCCAATGAAGGTCCCCGACACTCCTAGATAATTAGTATCGTCAAAAAGTGCGGTGGTATTCACACCCAACCCGCCCAAACGCTAAAGTAACAGTATAAAACTTGTTAAAATTTATAATTGCTATATTTTTTATTTAATTTCATTTTATCTGTAAAACATCACACACGTTAAAAGGCGGATAATCAGATACTTATGAAAATATGTTATAGGAAAGGTATACATGTGTGAAAATGACATTAGAACTGCAGAAAGGCGCAGCGCTAACCAGATCCATGCAACTTCCTCACAATTGAGTACCCCGCAATATCGCAGCCCACAACTCACGAGGGAACTCTTTGTATTAAAGTCGCATAGGTCCGCCAAGCATCCGCGAATTTACATTGTAAATAAATAATTATGTAGAAATAAAGAAAATAATAATAATAGCAAATAATTAACACAGCAAGGTTTCTAAAATGACTCGGCAAAAGGTCACCAGTTGCTGAATTGTTGCCATTTTTCATCACGGTTTTATTGTATAAAGTAAGCTGGGCAATGACAAGTAAATGCTACTAATAACTTATTATTATATACTAACTTTCATATAGTTATGTCACGAATTTTAGAATACAGTTTTTCATTAAAGAGCCAAGCCTTTTCCATACAATAGCATTTCGATAAATCAGTATTATTAGTTATTGTTATTAAACTATTTGACACATGCAGTTCAAGAGTGAAAATAATTATCTTGTATATCTGGGCAAGTTTGAGGTTTACGATCAATACTGAGACGTCTTCAAAGGAACAGTTTCTGTGCAAAGCTTGTTCGATACTTGAATGCACTGTTCGTTTCCGGGAATTAATAGAATTCCGGAACATACATTTAAATTTCGAATTTAATTTTAAGTAGAAAATGGCGAGTGCTAGACAGTTTATTGGCAGGAATATTTGTTAAGAACATTAAATTGAGGAACATTTTCTTTGATTACTTTGCGCAAAATACGAAAATTCTCTTAAGATCGATATTAAGAGGAACGTGATCGTAGCTACGTTTTCTCCCAAAACCTATAATTTGAATAAAGTGCTTCCCTTTCAAGATAACTTTATACGAGGAAAATGTTGTACTTCAGAAGACGAATACTTTATAATTTACTATTTTCAAGTAAATGTGTATATATGTTAATGTAAAAGTTCGAACTACGGTTAATCTTAAGATTTAAGTGTAAGTCTTAGGATTTACCGACATGAGTTGGTAAATGTAAGTATTTCTGAAAATACGACGATTTTTTCGAGCTTTTACCATTCGAATTCAGTATATGCTAGGTTTTACCACTGTCACCTGGTAGATGTTGGTTTTAGGAATAAAACAATGAGTAATTCTTAATTATTTACTTTAATATAAAGGTATCATATGATAGTAATAAGTACAAACTAATACCAACTTATTTAAATTATTTTGAAAATACACATAACGTATGTCTCTGAATATCTCAATCTCTATCATATCTATCTAACTGAATCAGTAGTTCTCTATTTGGAATTTAACAACGAAATACGAACATAATGCTTACATAAGCTAGTCTAACTTAATAATTATTTTTGTTTTTCAACATTTACCGTGCCATTAATGTAAATCCTAAGATTTACCAACGGAATGGTGGTAAGAGTTCGAATCGCAAACCTTTTGGGACATTTACCATTAGGAATTGGTAGATCTTAGGTTTTACTGGAATATCTTAGGATTAACTGCAGTTCGAGCTTTTACAGTAACATATATACCATACGCATACCGTATTATATAAATAAGATAGGCTGTCCCAAGAGATCAACCTAAATATCTACTTCGCCGATTATATTGCCTAACTAGCAATTACCAATCAACTATACAATTTGACTTCGTAATAGGATCCTGGGGGAGCAAACATTAATATATATTTTCAAGGTATTATTATGTATAACACATTTGTTTAAATTAACGCCATAAATAACCCAGATATGAATGAGAAAATAGTACTATCTTAAGAACGTAAAATTCAATTTAAAAAAATACATAAAGATTTCTTAGTTGTAGCCATTTGAATGATATAAGAAAATATGTTTTTAATATTGTGCTAAGTCGGTACCTACCCATATACTCAAATAACTTATATTAATACAATTTACCTTAAATAGAACACAAGCTTCCGTGATCCTATGTGCTTTTCACTCATAGTACTTTCATATTTATTACTAAAATAGTGATTATACTGTATTTATATTTATTTTGAAATTATACTATATTTTAATTATACTATATTTTGAAATTCGAATTAAATTATAATAAATTTGAAAATCTCTAGTTTCAGCCCTAATAATAAAAGGTGCCGACGAAATAAGAAACTCCTCTTTTTAATCCCATTAAAACTAAGCGGATGAATATAATCCTATTACAAGCCAGATTTCCAAGATCAAACAAAAGGGACTGATACACTTGAATTTAGAACAAGATTGTCCAATATGTCACAATAAGTTCTTTTCTATTGTTTTTCGATAGAGTAGTTTTTCCTAAAAGGGTGATAGGAAACGAGCGAAGTGGTTTATTTTTGGACATAATGGAATTTCGATGCCCAGGTAATCATTTTTGTCATCATAAACCATTTTGTTCTTACGTAATGATACATATTTATCCTGCAAGTTATAAAGGTTTTGTACGTATATCTTCAATATGCAATACATAGTAAACTAGTATATCGATCGATAGTAACTCACTCTAAAAGAATAATGTAAAATAAGTAAAAACTACATTGTTTCTGTGAACAATTCGAATATATTATGAAAACGTTAAAGACTGTCCTTAATCTGCATAATGTATCTATCATATATTTGATGTCATTTACATACCTACTTTTAAACGCGGTAGTGAGCGAGAGATTCATAATCAAAGGGATTTTGTTTACATAAGCAACACATTATTTTATTTAAAAAGTGAAAGACACTTAAAAATTAGTGATATAAATTAACAAATACGAAAATAAAACCTGTGAAAATGTAGGTAATATAAGCTATGTAGGATTTTTTGTTTTCTATAAAATTTAATCAGATTATGTATTATAGGTACTGAATTATAATTTACTATGTTTACGAAATCTACGGTTGTATTTTACTTGGTGTAATAATTACTAGTTTGGATTATACTATTTGTAATAATTACTAGGATACCACTTTTATGATAATAACTTTTCATATAATAAGGTAGACACAATTACATCGTCTCTTATTTTAGTGCAGTTTTACTCTGAATTATCGATGTGTTAAATAAAAAACTTTAGAGGTGTCAAGGGACACCCGGATGGAACGAAATTCCTTTCGATTAATTTATATGTTAGTTGGTATCATAACAGTATGATCGATTATCTCGACACCAATCTTACGACGAAAAAAAAGCCAACATCACGAGGTGTTCCCAGGCGGTCACCCATCCAAGTACTGACCTCGCCCGACGTTGCTTAACTTCGGTGATCGGACGAGAACCGGTGTATTCAACGTGGTATGGACGTTGGCGATAAATAAATCGAAAATGTAAAATATAACAACTATAGCAAAAAGTGTCGTTACAAGTTTTGGTCTTAATTTATTCCGTCTAGCCCCCTTTCGCAACGCTCGATAACTTCGTTCCACAAAGACTAATTTAGTTAAGTGATTCCAAAAATAATTTTCATTTCTTATCCCTACAAAAAAAAGCCAACATCACGAGGTGTTCTCAGGCGGTCACCCATCCAAGTACTGACCTCGCCCGACGTTGCTTAACTTCAGTGATCGGACGAGAACCGGTGTATTACAATAGCAAATAGCAAAAAAGTGTCGTGACAACTTTTCGTAAGAATTTTTTCCGTCTAGCCCCCTTTCACAACGCGCGATAAGGAACTTCGTTCCAAAATGGCCGGGAAATGTTACTGTAAAATGTAAATGGAAGAACAAATTCTCTATAATATGTAATTCTATTACATATTATATAACGGAAATTTCATTCAAAGAAATACCTTAATGTAATCTATAGTCTATAATATTGATCCTGTTTTAGTGACAGATTTACATGGATGACAACTCCTGTGTCAATTTTCATTCACTAACCCGTGACATCAACGATTAAGGAGCGACTTTAAAACAAGTTTGTTCAATCTTCACTGCAAGTCGTGTTGATTTCTTGTTTTTCGTTCAATTGGGTCGAACAGTTTTGTAAAAACATTAGTGTATTCAATTAGTATTTTATAATTCTATCATGTGCCTCTATTTTAATCAGTAAAAGAGAATATTACAAATATCTTTCGCTAAAATGTCGACGCCGTTGACAGATGACATAAACGCTATAGCGATTGGGGCAGACGCAGATTCAGCGCAAACACACGCACACGAAGGTAAACAAACAAATAAATTAATAGGACCACTTTTTTAACTTATTAAAAATTATCAACACCACTCACTAATGTTGTCCTTATATATAATGGACCCATAAATAAATTTAAATACAAAGTTAAAGCTACAAAAAATACAAAATATTACAAAGTACTTCTCTAATAAAATAAATAAACATCTAAATATCCTATACCTATGAAATGTGCACTTTTACAGGTTTTCACTGTAATATTAATGCTGTTAATAATGAATGCCGATATTCTGTGTTTGGTTGATTGATTTTGCCTTGCAACTTAAATTCTCTATTGTCTTTAAGCCACAACAAGTGCAAATGCTGATGATGGTTCATCTAGTAATGCTGCAACTCCTGCTAGCAGCGAGGGACAGGCATCTAGGCAGTCAAATTTGCAAAGAATACAGCAGCGAAAGCTGCAAGTTTACAATTGGCCACATAACAAGAAATTATTAAAATTGGCAATTTATTCTGCATGTCAGGTAAGAAGTAAAGATCAATCAGTTTTTATAATTGTAAACACTTTATTTTTACTCACAACAATATCACACCACAAGTGAAAATAGAAGTAAACAGTGCATGAGATGTAAATTAGTGGGCTTATTTTTAAGATAAGTTAAATAAATATATTTAAGACAGTATAATTTAAGCCATATCATATATTTATTATCACACTGGAAGCTCACTAACTTCAACTATGTAATTATTTTCATCAAAATTAATACTTTAGTATTAAATTTTATTATTGTGTCTATCAAAATAATGCATTAATCAATGTTTTATTTATAGACTCCTGAATGTAACTGCAATGGTTGGAAGACTCCTGCAGCTCAGCAGACAGTGAGAGCAAATGCCAGAACTGATAATCAGCCACTGGCTAACTTTACAGATCCCTGTAGGAATTGTAACCATATATTAGGTAATCTATTAGACTGACATTTAAACAAAGTAATATTGATTCAGCTTCATTGAATATCTCAAGACACTTTACTCTTTGGTCAGAAATACAACATTCTTGATTCTTTTTACATAAGCTTATAAATATTTCCAGAAAAACATGTCACCCAACTACAAGGATTATCAGGTGCTGAAATAAATAGGCTGTTAGCGGCTGTTGTTGATGTTGAGAATATATTTATGTCTATGCATAGAGAAGATGATCAAGACACTAAGAGGGTTTATTACTTTTTATTTAAGGTAAAATTAAATTAATTTACTTTTATTAATATTGAAATTTATTGTGTTATACTGAAATTTACGTATATGTTTCACTTTTTTCCACTTAGTTTCTATATTCTGGCATAGGTAGTCTTTACTTATGTGAGACAGTTTTCAGCATATTACACATTTTTATGTTGATTGAAATTGTAAGAACCTGTCTTCTAAACTACTATTTTTTAATTTGCAGCTGTTAAGAAAATGCATTCTTACTCGCTCTGAGCCTCAAATAGATGGACCATTAGGGCAGCCTCCATTTGAAAAGCCCTCTATAGCACGAGCAATTACCAACTTTGTACTATATAAATTCAACGCACTACCTCAAAGAGAATGGCAGACTATGTATGACTTAGCTAAAATGTTCCTGCACTGCTTCAACCACTGGAATTTTGAAACACCAAGTGTTCGGAAATTGGTAATATATTTTCTTTTAACTAAGAGAACTATTGTTATATTGAATTAACTACTAGAGCTGAATAGATTTGATTATTATTTGGACCTTATATTATATAAAATTTTAAAAATTTCATAGACAATTAAATTCAACGAATATTGCTTTATCAGATACAGGAATTTGATAAAAAACTTTGATTAAATAAATGTTAAAAGATTTTTATAGTTTCTTAAATTATGTTTCAGCAAGTTTCAAACCCAGAAGATATATCAGCCTATCAGATTAACTATACAAGGTATTTTTTTAAATCTATATTAACAATTTTGAACTTAGTCCACATTTATTCGCATATAACATTAAAATTCCCTACTTTATTACTTAAAGTTATATTTACTAGTTATAACTAGTGTGAATGCCTCATATATTTGATAATAAATGCCATCTGACTTTCTATCTCTATTATGTAAAAATATCTCTAATTAAAGCATCTCTTGACCAAAGCATATCTAACTAGCCTTCAGGTTTGCGTTAGGTTACATCCAGTACATGTTTAATAATTGTTTTACTGTTAATTTATAATTTATTAAGCTGTTCATGGTCTGGGACACTTTATTTATAAGCTTAGAAACAATATCATTAAAGATTAACTCTCTTAGCACGGGTTGCCTGTAAAATATTGAATATAAGCAAAAAAAAGGGTGCGTGTATTTATGTACGCGCGTAAGAAGTTATACTTCTTTGGCATTATTAAAAATAGTTTTTGATTGCATGCAAATAATTAATTACAATTAAATAATCAAAGACTGGAAAAGGAGTCATTATAGTCAATAAAGTTCCGTTTACATTTGAAAAATTAAATAAATAAATATTTATATTTATTATTATTTTCTAATACTAATTAGTATTGATTTAAATATTCAATTTAAATCACTTCTGATTATAATTCAGACGCAAATATAAAATTCGCACTTGTATAATGAAAACACGTGTTTTAAATGTAGAAACTCAAAGCATGTGGATAAATATTATAAATATAAATACACAGTGATCAGAGGCGGCGTGCGTGCCAACATGCGCCACTAACTTCATTCTGTTAATTTTGTGTAACGGTGCGCGCGCATCGTAAACTTTCACTCTCATAAATTTTTCATAACGCGCCTAAAGAAGCATAACTTCAAAAAGCCTTCCACTGCACTCAGTATATAGGTTTCTTTCAATATTTTGTCCTTTTTCATGTTTGCCAAGAAGTGCAAAATATAAAATCAACCTTAGTATCAAAGTGTTAAGACAGATTTTTGAAATTTTAGAAAAATATTTCCTAGTTTAAACTGAGAATATAATTTCAGATGGCTGGTATTCTGCCATGTGCCAGCATTCTGCGACTCCCTACCCCACTATGATACCTCTTTGGTATTCGGAAGGACTCTCCTCAGAGCAGTCTTCAAGTCTGTGTGTAGACAATTAATGGACAAGTGCCATTCGGAAAGAGATAGAATGCCACCAGAGAAAAGAGTAAGTTTATTTTAGTAGTGATATTTAACTTCCAATTTAGAACAGGTTAAAATCACCAATTTAAACTAAGGTTAAAATTTTGTCAAAGACACAATAAATAATTTACAGATTTTTAATTATTATAAACTAACAAAAAGAGATTAAATGACTATTATTTTATTGCATTGTAAAATCAATCTAAACAATTCAAGTGATTTTGATATAGGCAAGAAGTGTATGATTTGAGTAAAGCTTTAAAAAATCCCATTCAAACTCAAAATAACTTTATTCATATAGGTAACCAAGTATACTTATGAACGTCAACAGAAAAGGTGTTAAATTGATTCTTAATTTACATTTACTACCAGTTTGCAAGTCAAGGGCGTAGAGCGGTTTAGAAGAAGTAGCAAGAAACTCTCCGCCACTCTTTTTAATCGCCAAGTTTTGTGTTATACAAATTTTTATCATTAGGTTGGGATCATTTAAATAATAGTCAAATTTATAAAAAGCTTTATTGATAATTCTTGAATTTCGCTATTTTATTATTTTACAATCCAAACACTTATAAATTATTATTTTTATGACAATGACAGTATTTTTAAATTGTTAAATGGTTATCTTTTGACCAGGTTCTAGTACTAAACCACTTTCCACGGTTCCTTGGATTGTTGGAAGAAGAGATCTTCAGCGCAAACTCTCCCATCTGGGACCCGGAATTTAAGCAGATGCCATCCAACCACTTACAGACTATATTAGATAAAACACGTAAGTTACTTTTATATCTATGATCAGCTTGTCAATTAGTATTTAGACTTGTCAATTGTCAGTCTTGTTCTCAAACTTTGTCTAACGACTAACTTTAAGCATGTTAAAAAATCTAACCAAACATCCGTTGCTTATGAAAACACAATCTCTACTATTGTAGAGATACTATATACTGAGGATAATAATGGGATCGCTATCTCTATTCGATGTTACAGTATACTAGCGCTGGAAGTCATGGCTTCTTACATAGATTAATGAAAGTATTAAAGTAAAGCTGTGTAAAAAGGCTTACTATAAAGTTAACGATTATCTAGTTGATAAAGGGCCTGGGACTAGTGCTAGACAGGCTACTTCTAATTAATTTGCGAATAATATATTTATTTGATGATTTGCTAAAAAAGCTGCTTTTTAAAAGAGTACCGAGAGTTTTTTACGCTTTCTCTCGGCCTACACCCTCTGTGTTCTTAGCCGATTAGTAGGGATGTCTACCTTCAAATTTAATGACGTGGAATAAGTGATACCTGTATCTTATGTTCCATAATAAACATATTTTATTTTATGGTAGATAGGATTATTTTCGGTTGTGGAATACATGCCAATAAATCATAGAACCAGACACAAAGTTGCACCTAGTCGATTCTATACATTGAAAGGCTTCAGAATACATACTCATTTTTTTATTAACTGAGCTCATTGCTTTCTAAACGCTGCTTTCCTTAACACAAAATCATATTGTACCCATTTTTCATCGCTTTTCGTGTATGTCCAAAAATTTAGTTTAAATTATTGTGAATCATTTTTACAATACAAGACACAGAAATAAAAGTAATTTTTACAATATAGTACATTAATTTTAATACTGTTAATTAAAAAAATTGTTAACACTTTGCAATGCATTATAAAAAAAATTATGCTTGAAAATTAATTTACGTGGTAAAATAGAGATTACAAAAAATAGAATACAACTTTGCTTAATCTCTAATTAATCACAAATGTGTTTTAATAATCTTTTCTTCTACCGGCTTGCTTTAAATAAGAGAGATATTTAAGTTATAGCTATTATAATGTTAAACCATTGTTATCAGCTGGAAAACGCGGTGAATTCGAACGCGTCACCGCGACAGGAGAAAGCAAAGATGGCTTTACCACGGTGTCGCTTTCGTCAGGTACATATATCATGCGGAATATTTATTCGTATTCATATTCATTAATATAACGCTTACTAACAAATCATTGTTTCCATGTTTCATATATAGATAATACAGGGTAGAGACCGCATTTGAAAATGAAAATTATAAGTACAGAATATAAATAAAAACAATTGAATATTGCGATCTGCGTTTTTTAATAGATGTTATTATGTTCTTTATTACATTTAATGAAGAGAAAATTATAATGATATAAATATGTAGGTACTGGACGTTTTTCGGAAGTGGTCTTTTTATGAGATTTTAAAGCCTTTTCTATATCATAATCCTTCTGGCTTAAATAATTTAAATATTAAAAGAATTTTGATTACATAAATAAATAAAAATACATATTTTTATGTACAAGCACTCTTGTAGAAGTAAAAAAAAATAGTAAAAGTATATGCATCCTTATTTCTTAATTCAAAGTTACCAGAGTAATATGATTTCTAACGTTTTAAACTTACGTTATATAGGAACGATAAAACAAGAGAATCTCAAGCGTTCAGGGTCGGATGTCTCCATCGGGGGAAAGAGACGTAGGGTAGAAGAGAGCGATGACGTCAGCGAGCGCACTGTCGCTGAAATTGTGGCAACCATTTCTGATCCAAACTACATGTGTGGACCCGATGTGAGTATAAAAATATAGTTTCGATAATATATTGATATCAACGAAGTAACGAAACTTGGAGTTATATTATTTCTTAAATATATGTACGTATATATATATATCTCAAATAAAAGCCTTTTTTCCTATTCGACGACGATAAACATTGTTGTTATGTATTTAGTGTAAATATTTAAAAAAATACTAAATATATGTACAGTAATTTATCTTAAATTAGACGAAAGAGCAAAAACGTTTTACGATTGTTTCACTGTTTAACATTATTACGGACGACACAGTAACCGCACATTACGACGATAATTTTGACGTATGTCTAGAACGTAATAATTTATTACCAATCTTTATTTGTTATTAAGGTATCGCATGTAATTCTACCAAATAATAATACAAGTGTATTATTATTATTTGGTAGAATTACAATTTAAAATAAAACTAATTTTATGGTTGTTGCTATATACTTCAGGAAAGTAAAATTAGGTAACTCGTTTACCTATTAGGTACTAACATTGTGCACAAAGTAATTTATGCTACATAAAGACATTCTCGTAAATAAAAAAAAATTAACTACTACTATCAAAAATAGTTTTGATTTGTTCAGTAACTGGACCTAAGTGGTCCAGATCAATATTACGATAAGTGATAATTTTTTTATCTATGTGGGCTATCTCCAGATTATCTTAGGTTAGTATAGACTATGTTCAGATAATAGTATCTCGTCTCAGTAAAAAGATCAAGTAAGTATTTATAATAAACATGCTTTCGCGTGTAAAAAATTATCCGTAATTAATATATAAAAATAATATTCTTAATATATATTCTTTAATTTTATTTAAAACACCGTTAAATTTTAGTTTATAAAACGAATATAAAAATTACCTCCAAATATATATTTTTATTAAACAAAAAAGTAGCAACGGGTACTTATTTCCTGGGGAGAGTTTCCCTCAGTCTAACGCCATATTTCAGATCGAGAACGGCTTAGATCCAAAATAATTTTCGAGCTGCAATGTCTATTTATTGAAGAAGGCATGCTTCAACCGTATTAAAGCAGGTACACAGCGAATAATATTCTTAAAACGTGTTTGACAGGCACTATTTCAAATGCAAGCCCCACGTGATGAGGCGGCCAAAGTGGAGGAACAGCGCAAGTTGATTGAGTTTCATGTCATCGGAAATTCTCTCACTGGACCTGTTAATAAACAGACTATGTTATGGCTTATAGGTACTTATTTTCTGTATTACTATCTGACTACCAGCACTGTAGGCGCATAGAGTCTGGCTATTAGAAGAAGATAATTGAATTATTTGAAAACTTTCGGATGGCAACACAGAATGTCATAGTCATCTTGATACTTCATGCAAATACTCATTTTTATTTCTATTATATATGTTTTCCGAATAGTAACAGGTAATAATAGCCTAAACATTTAGAAAGTTTCATAATCAATGTGAGAGACAGTGATAACAGCAATGACTGATGAATCTATGTATATTGATTTTTTGGATTCTGATTTTGATTTGGTGTGTTTTATAATAAATACAGTTTTAGTTTTCCATGCAATGCTAGTCATTTTAAGTAACAATAGTAAAAGACTAAATACGTTACTATCAATATAAAAAATAATAAAATAAAATCAAGTATCAAGTAAGTTTAATCCACAAAATATATTAAACTTTTAGGGATACCATACTAAATTTTTTTTAATTTTCCGCGCTTTTTCGTTATCTCCTTGCATTAGCCAGACTCTAACTTTTGTACGGTTCCCGGTACTATTTATTCAAAATTTAGAAAATTCATTTGTTTTTTGCTCTCAAATATCACACATGTTAAAACGGGGGCAAGCAAGTACTTATAAAATATGTAAGAAAAAAGATATACACATGCAAAAATAACACTAGAACATAAAAAACAGATCCATGCAAGTTCCTCACAATCGAAGCAGACGTAGCAAATCCCGAGGAGAGTTTTTGTATCTAAGAAATCACGTAGGTATATATCTTTTAATCTAGAATTTGGCAATAGAAACCTGCTTTTGAAAGTGTATATGTTAACGTAAAATTGTACATACCGTTAGATTGTAATCTATCTCGCGAGATTATAAACTGTCGAAAGATTGTGAACCTCAACGTACTGCTTACAATTTAATGTATTATTATTCGGTAGATTGTTCTCTATCGAAATGGAATTTTACGGTGACATATACACCAATTAAATAAAATGTGGTTGCAGGTCTACATAATGTCTTCTCGCATCAGCTTCCAGAAATGACGAAAGAATACATATCGCAATTGGTTTTTGATCCGTAAGTATTTGACAGTTTGCACTTGACGTTTGAGTTGGCATCTGTCGACTTCAAAAAATTGACAAAGGCGCTTTTTTTCAATTTAAAAAAAAAAATTAGGTATATCGATTTATCTCTGGTATTTTAGTATATATTTTACTTTAAATAATTATTCTAATTGAATATTTTCAGAGTTGAGTTGTTCAAAAAGAATTAGAATAATTTCAGAGTTGGTTTGTTTAAAAATGATTAATTATTATAAAAGTAATTTAGAGCTATTACTACAAATACCTGTTAATATTATTTACCTAAGCGTTTTAGAAGCGCACGGATATGTCTACTGAACCAATTTTAATGAAATTTGAACTGGTCATTTATTTTAAGTTTGATTTAAAACCAAACGAAATTATCATCTCAATTTTCTTTTGTTTCACACTTTAGAGTACTTTTATTGGAGTCGGTTAAAAATTCTGATGCTCATTTTTTTGCAGTAAACACAAAACGTTAGCTTTAATCAAAGAAGGACGACCAATTGGAGGCATTTGCTTTAGAACTTTCCATTCACAGGTGAGTAATTCTATATTTATATATAAAATCTGTGTGAGTATGTAATTAATCTGCTAAACGGCTACACCGATTTTGAATGAAATTTTTTGTGAGTTTGTGAATGTTTTAGATTTACAATATTTTTTTTTAATTTAGAAAACTAGACCGACAGCATATTATACAAAAAAAATATCGGTCAACATTACTCAAAATTGAAAAATAACGAAAAAAATACTTGTTTCTTATATAATATAATATATCCAAAGTTGACTTAAATATGCACCTTAATCTTTGTAGGGATTTAGCGAAGTGGTATTCTGCGCAGTGACATCTAACGAGCAGGTGAAAGGCTACGGAACCCATCTCATGAATCATCTCAAGGATTATCACATACGAAACAATATTTTGCATTTTTTAACCTTCGCTGATGAATTTGCTATTGGTAAGTTGATGGGGCATGGGACAGACATTTCTGTGTCTCCGTACCAACCCGAAAGCTTGCTTCGGTGGTATCCGAACCTAGGATCCATTAAATAATTGGAATAATTGAATTAGTTATACTTATTTCCAAAAAAAAAAAAAAATTGCATAATATGTAATCTTTGTTAATAATAATTGTTTAATTTATTATCAAAGACACTTTGTTTATTATATAATAATTTTCAAAGACAATTAACAAATAATTTCATGTATTTATCACTGTACATATTAGATTTTTTTTAAATTTATTATCTTTAAAAAGTCTAAGGTTGGTAAATGGTTCGATAGTTCCTGAAACTAGATTATGGTTTGATGGACCTTTTAGAATATGGGCTTAAGTATCAATATTTTATTTGCACCTTTACGAAAACGTATTGCGCATGAGTTATAATTATTATAACAAATCATAAATTCGTCTCTTTCCGACAAATTTGGCTTACACCATGATAGAAAGAGACAAATGTTTTTTTATCTAAGTTCTTTAATTTTATTATTATAAACATTTTTTTTTGTGAAACTTATGTTTACTTTAATTTTCACACATTTTAGATGTAAGATTTTGTAAAATAATTAGTATTGTGTGTGATGTCGTAACAGTAATAACTAAACATAAATATTAAATCCTAACTATATATTTCTATGACTTCGTTATCGCGTTTTACACATGCACAACCACACCACACCCATATATATCTCATTATATTTTTATTATTTCAGGTTATTTCAAGAAGCAGGGTTTTAGTAAGGACATAAAACTACCTCGAGCGATGTACCAAGGGTATATAAAGGACTATGAGGGCGCCACTCTGATGCACTGCGAGCTTAATCCTAGAATAGTGTACACCAAATTCACGTCTGTTATAAGGCGGCAAAAGGAGGTAAACTATACTTTTAAAACGAATTAACAATTTTTTTTTTCTTACAATGAAGTTCACAAACAAAAGGGCGACTTTACATGAATTACAATCTAGCCTATACAATAATTATGGCTAATAAGTAATATTATCTTGATTTAATTTTCTACAATACTAGTGAATAGCTTAAACTAAGGTAATGTTCAGTAACAGTGTCAAAATATTTAAAAAATATACATATTATGTACAAAAAATTAAATTTTTCGCAATTTTAATTTTATTTAATCAATTAAATAGGCAAAGCACTTGCGTTATCCCGGGTTATATAAAAGATTTTAACTAATTATTCTTATTAAAATCCCTATTTTTTTGTGATTTTAACTATCTTTTTTTTTATTATTGTAAGAAAGAGTGGCATCAGATGCAATCGAAAGCCATTTTGCGTCTGTTTGGTTGATTTATATCTATGTTTAATTACGAAATTCAACCCCACACTCCGCGATTAAAAAGTTTTGTTAACCGTACGAAATAACGAATACTTATTAATTTCAGATTGTAAAGAAGCTAATTGATATGAGACAAAAAGAAGTGAGGAAAATACATCCCGGGCTGACTTGTTTCAAAGAAGGGGTAAGTTGACGAGAAATCATTTAATAAATTATTTTTTTCTTTAGATATTTTATATATAATGTTTTCTCTTTTCATCATAGCATGAACACAATTTGACAGAAAGAGATGACTAGATTTTACGAGAAAGCTTCGAATGAACGACGTTGCCGCACTTATAGGTGCTATAAGATAAAATCTAGTCGTCTCTTTTTGTCTAATTGTGTATATGCTATAATGAAAAGAGTGTGTACTTTAGTTGTTTTTTTATAGAAATTTATTTGACGGTAGAACGAATTGATCACAATTTCAACGACCATAGATAACATTCATTACAATAATATTATAATACTAAATTACTTGAATTAATTACAAATTTATTTCAATTAAATAATTTAAACATGCATGTGCAATTAGACGATTAATTTATGATAAATAAATAGTTAAGTTTTAAAAAAATCTGTGGCGCTACAACCTTTTTAGGTCTCGGCTTCAGTTTTCTGTATCTGTTCCATGATCATTTGTGAATCTAATAGGCAAGTAGGTGATCTGCTTCCTGTGTCTGATACACGCTGTCGACTTTTTGGGTCTAAGGCAAGCCGGTTTCCTCGCGATGTTTTCACCGTTCGAGCGAATATTAAATGCTCAGATAGAAATAGACTCCATTGGTGCACAACCGGGGATCGAACCTACGACTTCTAGGCCAATGCTGTAGTTTAAGTTTTATTTATACTATGTGCGCCGTAGCATGGTGCGGGTGACAGTTGCTTAATTTTTCTTTCAATTTTCACACCATGCTATTATTAGTAACTATTGTATAACTTTTATAGGTACGCAGTATACCAATAGAAGTGATCCCTGGACTCCGGGAAGCAGGATGGCGGGCATCTCGCGCTGCGCCTGAACCTCAGCCTGATGCGGACCCTGCGCCACTTAGGAATATATTGCACGCGGTAATTATATACAGCATTTATTGATTATTATATATTGTATGAAATTGAAATTCCCCCCGTATCCGTAAATACCCCCTCGACGTTCGTCATTACCTGACGCAGATGTGCACTTAAGTACTTCTTGTTGTCATTCAAGTAATTTGATTTTATTTGTACTCTTAGAACGAGCTAATAAAGAATTTTTTTTAGGTTAAAAACCACGGCGCTGCTTGGCCATTCCTCAAGCCGGTAGACAAAGCCGAGGTACCGGATTACTACGATCATATTAAGTATCCAATGGGTAAGTTGCTTATTCACTAAATTATATTTTTTTTTATTATTAAGACTATTTTAATAGTTTATAAATAAAAACATTTTTTTTTCTAGGGTTGCCTACTAGTATTTAATTAATTAACATAAAATGATTAATGACAAAAACATACTTTTTTCTAGGGCTGCCTACCCTCTATTAATTATTTATGTAAATAATTAAATAACATAAATTATAAATGACTAAAAAAATTTTACATTCGAGCTTGTAATAATTAAAAATATATACAAATTTTGGTGAGAACTATTAAAACCACTCAATTTCTGTAACGCCTTTTAAAACTGTTCTACATAAATACCTCTTAACGTGATATTCCTAAATATATTATTTTTATTAAGCTATTGCATAGATTTTATCGCAGGCTTTGAGTGCGGCGACCGAATCAAGAAATTCCGTAACGAAAAAACCTAACACACGATGACGTAATATAGGTGCGGCCAATACGCGTTAGAGCGGGACAGAACGCATACTGCGTATTCACATCTCTCGTAGCGTAAGCGCGGCCGGTGCAGCCGGTACGCGTTAGAGTGAGACAAAGTATATAGGCGTGTTAGTCTGAGTCTGGTATAGTGGTTGATTGAATTAATATAAAAGAAAAAAAATACTGCATAAATAAAAAAATAAATAAATAATTATAATTGTATAAGTTTATAAAAAATGCTATGCAATAGCTTTACCGCGGCAGTCACCGATTGCCACACTTTTTTTTTATTTTAGTACTTATTAATTGTAATTTATGATGAGCTTTTATTTTTATTTAATTTAATGCTAGTTTTGTAATTGAGTAAGTCTACATTGTTATAATTTTAATTTTTTAATTTAGTTATTAGTACTAGGGTTGCCTGGTAGAGATCACTTGTTAGAGATAGGTCCGTTGCCTCCTTAATAATTTGTTATTTCGTTGTATATGTATTAATTATGCAACAAATGTTTTTGTAACTTGACAGACTTACGGTCAATGGGGGAACGCCTGAAAGCGCGGTACTACGTGTCTCGGCGCTTGTTCATCGCGGATATGACCCGGATATTCACCAACTGCCGTCTCTACAACTCACCTGACACCGATTATTATAGGTCAGACTATTTTATTTTAATACTCGCTGCCCCCGCGAACTTCGTTTCTCCTTATTGTGATTTTACTTAGCCTACCTTTTTTTCCTCTATATAAACCCCAGAGTTCAAGTCATAAGATTTTAATTAACAAATAAAAAATAAGGGTTGGTTATAGAGGGGTGAAAATTTAGGGTTGTATGTATTTTTTAATGGCACATTATAAAGAAATTAAAATTTCGTCCAAAAAATAACAATAAAATGTTAGGGGCGGACAACCCTTATCACTTAGGGGTATGAAAAATAGATAGTAACCGATTCTCAGACCAACTGAATATGCACATAATTTCGTTTCTAAAAAAGTTTCGGAGGAGTATGGTAACTAACATTGTGACACGAGAATTTTATATATAAGATATCATATGAGAATTCGATTTTCCCATACTAGTTATTTTTATTATTACATCATGATTATCATTTTACTATATCACAATTGGGTATTTTTCAGATGCGCAAACACATTAGAAAAATACTTCCAGGCAAAGATGAAAGAAGCGGGCCTTTGGGATAAATGAATTAATAATAAATTAGCTCAATTATTTATTAATAATTATAGGACTATACCTCGTACTCATGGTGTATAACAAGGGTAGGCGCAGAAGGCTCACTTAAGAAAAATATTCTCAATATTAGACATCATTGGATTTGTTTTATTTTATACCCAATAGAACGTCCTAGCAATAACATAATCATAGTTAAAATATTTTAAAAAAAGCTAGAAAATCTCGACGTTTCTTACATATGTTAATTGTTATCAAGGTATTTTTAATTAGTATATGTATATGCAGACAAGTTCAATTTTAGTACTGAGGATAAATTCATTTCTTACAATGCAGTAAAATAAACCTAGAACAGTAATGTGATTTGTACCATTAGCTGTAAGAAACAAGTAAAAAACTATACGTCCTTATCTCCTACTTGTGTAGATGTTGTTTATTTAAGGAATTAAAATGTTCATCAAATTGTTGTTTTATTTACGTATTAACGAGAAAGGAGATAAATAATTTCATGTATGAATAACTCATAAATTCCATAACCTTAAAATTTTATGACCTATCGACCGAGATCCTGTATCTCCGAAATATTATGTTATAATACGTTACGTTTAATCATATGCTATCAAATACATAACTTGTAAAAAAATCAAGACTCGTAATCATATGCTATCAAATACATAACTTGTAAAAAGATCAAGACTCGTATCGCCGTTCCTTTACCGTAAACAGTTGTGAGATCCATGTAATAACAAGTCGGTCAATTTATTCAGTGCCTACTTAGACAGAAGGTCTGTTTCAAGATATTACGTAATTAGCTAACCTGACATCTAATAGTGACCATATCCATATTACAAATCTTATGTATTAAATAAATACATTGCCTTGGCCATCGCATTGAAACACAATGTATCTCAAAAGTGATGCATGTTATATTAAATTAGATTGCTTAGTTCCAATTTTATCCACAGCGAAGTTAGGGTAAATTTATACAAGCGCAGAGTCGAAGCGTCAAATTCTTCACAACTAAAACGAAGCCGCACGAATGCGCGCGGATTCCCAAGAATACGCAAGCGTAGGTTCGCTAGTGGGCGCGTGGATTCGCGAGAATGCGCGCGCACCAATCAGCTCGGTTGAGTCTTTTTGAAATCTCAGAAGTAATGTGTGCGTTACACAGTGGAGTTAAGGTTGAATTTGTTATGTTCAGTTTTGGATAAACGCTTTGACTCTGCGGTAGTATACATTTACCTGTAGGGAAACTAAAGTTTAGGGGGTCGAAAATGGCCTGAACTGCTTCGAGAAAAGAATAGCACAGCCGCCTTTTGGTCGACGTGGTGGGCGCACGTTCCCCCAGATAATAATTTAAAAATTGCTCTAAAAATACAGTATAAAATCAAATTTTCCAAATTCTTACTGCGTTATGAAGATTTTCTTAGCCACCGTTTTACTGAGCATAATTTCTTTCATAAGTGTTATGATCAAATATAAATTAAATTTGCTTAAATATACGAACTAAATAGTTCTCTCATTCTGTAAATTGTCTAGTTTTGTTAAATGAAACCCAAATTTCAATACTGTATTGGTTTTTATTTAAACACTCTGTACACACATGGAGTACATAATATGAGGGGAATGTAAATACATATACAACTTTAGACCATATCTGTAGTTACCGTAAAGTACATACCAGTCTCCTTGTTAATATAAAATCCATTGGATTTTCAATAAGTACCTTAAAAGTACACGTTACAACTTAAATGCTTACAAAACTTAATATATTTTAAGCTTACAAATAAAACTAACTATATCGCTTTTGGATTGAAACTAATGTGAAATTATATTATTCAAATTGCCTTGTAAAACTTTTTGAACGGTGTGAATATAGCTTATTTGTATAAAGCGGAGATAACATCGCACGATAGCCATATTTGCTTTACGGCGCACTACGCGAAACTTCACAGCGGTCATCAAGTTATGGTGTATCAATATCTGGAATTTATGGTGTGAGAGATTAATACCGAAAGCGATGCAGCTAGCGTAATCAGACTAGAATGTATTAACTAAATTAGAGCCACATAATTCTGCAGTCTACCGCTGGTTCCTAGATCAACAGGTCGGGTTGGTTGTTTGGCCCTATTAATATAGAATTTATAACGAAACCTTTACACAACTTAATTTTCGAAATTAGTAAGACTTATTTTTACTGACATCGAAGCAAACTTAAACATACGTTTTCTGATAACCCTGGGTATTTTAAAAGGGATTCGAGAAGTAAATAATATAATTAGAATAGAATTTTAGATTGTAAACTAGCGAACTATTAAAAACTTTTAAAATATTAGAAAATGGTAAGTTAATTCTATGGACGGACATCTTACAATGATAAATGAAAGGGCCAACAACCATATCACTAAAATATAAATCACCACAGACTAAGATAATGCCGCGAAAATAAGGAGCTTCACAATGAAGCAAAATTTCTAAGCGGTAATCATGACGTAGACGCAGTCCTGTCATCTAAAATGTACAAATTCAAAGATTTATGAAATCTATTAGTCGGAAGTTAGAATAAACTTTTGAAAAATGTGACACCATATTGCTTCAACAACGTCCTAAGGGCAACAATTAAGTGACAGCTGTCATTCAACTGTCAATTCTATCTTCCTAAGTATATTTTTTGTATCCTATTAAAACAACTGTACATAATTCATTACGTGGGAATTTCTAATAGTTCAAGTAATTTTTAAATAGTCAAAAAACTCATATTAAAAAAAAACTTATAACTAAATACAAGATAAGAGTCAAGCCAAATTCGCAGTTGTACAGTTGTTTATTAAGACAACCAAGATTTTTTTGTTTTTTATTATAATGCACGCACGTATTTTAAGTCTTCGCGATTAAGTGGATACAATGAGATCAACCAAACAAAATTCTATGGCTTAATATTTCAAATGTAATGATGGATCTTTGCTGACCTTAGATTTTTTTATATATATATTAAAGTCAGAAAATTGGTCAATCTAATTTTGGATCCATTTGATACCAGTTGCCTAGGCGGAGTCGCGGTTTATATCACTTAACTAAAAAGTCCTTATAAAATATCACTTGTCATCCACCACTCTTATCACTGGATTTTTTTTGCCTTTTTGAGTATTAACCTTAAATAAATGAACACACGGAAACTAGCGTATCTAGACAATTATATGCAGATGGGCCTAGCAATACGAGACTCGATGAAAAACATGTCATCCTTTACTTTATTGCAAGTCATTGTTAATCCGGGTTCTATATTAACCAACCATTCGTAATTACTGCGAGTCGTTTCTTTAAATGTAAAACCCAGGTTTAGTTAATGCGATGATAATGCAACTGTTCTTACAGATAAAGAATGATAAATAGTCGTACAATAGAAGATAACACGATAATATCTAGAATAAATTCATTTAAGGATAATAGCTTAGAAGTAAACATTCAAACTGCATATAATTGCCTCAGTGTCTTAGAAAATCTCTTTCTCTCTTAGTTCTGATTGAAATCGATTTTTTAAGACACTGAAAAAAATTTGTCGTACAAAAGGATATGAACTTTCTACTACTTTCCATATAAAACACTAATTCCGTATTTCACAACCTTCGATCGGTATTGATATATCAATTACGTCCGACTTGAACCAGAATATTTCCTGTAAAATACGGACTTGATTTATTTAACAAAATCGTATTTTTATCTCAAAAGATGTCGCGTTGCTCAAGTTCACACAGTGATTCCGACGGTAGATTCACTCCACTTCGCATTCAGTTCCAGCCATTCGGGATTGCGAGGGGAGGGGGATTTGGCACGGGGAAGTCTTCGACCACAATTTGAGTTCTCCGATTAGACTTTGTATGCCAATGCAGAGTTTAGACTACGAATGGGACATCTCTGGCCATAATCTTAAACGTGAGATCGAACTGTCGAAGATCATGGCGGCCTATGAGACCTCAAATGTGGTCTAGGACTACTTGAGGCGATGTCTCAGGCATCGCTAGTGCCGGGGTTCGGCTCTTCTTGCGAACAACCTTCCTGTTCTTCGCTTGATGACTCTTCATTCGACCTGAAAATAGATTATATTGATAATAAATATGACAACATAGCAACAAATGACCGCAATTACTGCTTTATTGTGGTTATAGAATCTTTATTTCTGCAACAAGCTTAAAATATTTTCAACTTTTATTATTAATAAATGTAAAGACGGCGTATGAATCAAACGAAGCGGTCTTTTCTTTATACTAACCCTTTAGGACTACTACAGCTTGCTTATGAAATAAAATAAAAATAAATCAGTTGCGCTATAGCCTTTTTAGGTATGGGCCTCAGATTTCTGTATCTGTTTCATGATCATTTGCCAATCTAATAGACAAGTAGGCGATAGCCCTTCTGTTCCTGACTACGCCGACTTTTCGGATCAAAGGCAAGACGGCCTCACGATGTTTTCTTCACCATTCAAATGAATTTTAAATGCACACAGAGAATGTCCATTGGTGCATAGCCGGCGATCGAACCTCAGGGATGAGATTCGCACACTGAAGCCACTAGGCCAACACTGCTTGCTTATTTAAAATAGTCTTTAATTATAGAATGTATATACCTATGTCCGTGTGGCGGCACGAGATGGTCAGGCGAAGAGGCGCGGCTACTGCGCTCGCTGTGGGTCTCACCGTACGAGTTGTCGGATGTTAGCTGAAATATCAATTATCCATCAAAATAAGATTATTGACTCAAAAGGCCTTAACGTGTGTTACATGATTCTAAAAACTACGAGTTAAATGTTTTAAGTTAAAAAGATAACAAATAAATTAACTATAGAGACCAGACAGCGCTGACAAAAACGTATTGCATTACAAACGTATTGTCTTACGGGGCCGGTCATAAACAATTTCAAATATTATGTAGGGTCAAGGTCAAATATATTTTAACAATTGTTTATATATATTTAGTTTTTAATATTTATTTAATTAAAAACAAACATTTTATGAAACATATTCTTAAGAATCTTGCTACAGGTGCGCATGTGCAATAGTTGCTCATTTGACTCGTTCGGTGACTCGAACATCTCTCCGAAGTGGTCGAGTCGGAGTAGGGAATAGATTATAAAAGAGTTTGTGACGGCGCACGGGCAATTCCTTTGTATAAGTTTGAAGTTTTACAGTTTATGTAAAGTCAGTGAAGTGAACTATAGTCAATCAAGTTATAATTACCAATGTCAGCGGATGTCTGTTGCGTGCGGGCGACATCGCCGGACTGAGGGCGCGACTCCTGGCTTCCTCAACGTCCAACTGCAGAATACTCTCTTGACTGCCCGTGAACTGAAAACAAATCCTGTTATGCTAATTCTGATATACTCTAGAATCAAGTATCTTTACTCTATTATAAAGAAGAAATTGGTACTAATTACCATAGACTTTAAATTAATAAAATATTAATACAGTAGATATTATAGATTACACTATAATGTTTTTTGTAACATGTTGGGTAATAAAGATAATATTGGTATTTTACTACCATTTAATAGATTCAATTACATAAATATATATTATATTAAGTAATATATCAAGTTTTTTTTAACTTTATTTGATTTCGCTATATAGCTTGTGAGTAGTAAGACGTGCCGGTTTCCTCACGATGTTTTTCTCAGCATGCGACGATTGTTACACTTATAAAGATAAAGCCCATAGACTAAAACATATACAGAAAATTAAATAAAACAACTAACCACAAAGCCGTAATACTTGAGTATGTCCATCTTGCACATGGGACAGGTGCGGTGTTCCAGTAGCCACGGATCGATGCAGTTCTTGTGGAAGTCGTGTCTGGAATTAGAAAAAATATAATATTATTAATTTAAGGTCATACATAATATAATGTATACGTTTGGGAAGGAAAATAAATTTGTGTTCACATCTCAGCGAATACTTGAATAGGCCTGGTTTCAACACACAATGTCTATAGACAAAATGCTGTATTGTGTTATACTTTCCGATTGTAGTAATAACACCCTATTCATTAAACTCAGGCTAAAGCGCCAATCTTCGCATTAATTTGTCTCTTTTTATCACAGTGTAAACACGATTTGACAGACAGAGACGAAAGAGTACAATTTAATTAAGTTTAAACATGACACTTGAAAATTGCAACTTACGAATAAAACATAGATAACAGAGACTGAGTGAGTATTAATGTCCAGTGAAACCTATACGGAAATGTGACATATTAAGGCCCTATCCCAGCACGAATTGCTGTGTCAGTGTCTCGGGGTGGACTGCGGGGTGCAGTGGAGAGCTGGAGCACTGAGGCGCGCCGGCCAGTAATAACAATTAGTTATGTAAAACATTAAATTAATGTAATTTTATCAATTTTGTTTCTGAAATGGATTACTTAGCTTGGGATAAAATATATCGTGTAAATTTCCTAAATCATGTTCTATATACATTTTCGTCATAAAATGAATTCAAAGTGTCAAAAATTGGCTATGTTTGAATTTTTCTATCGAGCGAAGTTATTTAAATCGTGTATCGATCTTTCAAAATGGATATATAAACTACTCAACTCCACCATATATTTTTCCATTCGCCCTACTTCAAGAAACGATGACGAAAAATGGAAAGAAACAATGTACTTTTTTGGAGTTTTGCGACCAGATGGGTCCGTAAGTATCACTCACCTACAAGGAAGAGATCTTAACGTTTCCGACACTTTGTAAGGCTCAATACAGATGGCGCAGCACTCACCGTCACCCTGCACCTCCTGGAATTCATCAAAATTTATTTAAAATAAAGGGGTCATGGTTTATACTTAATAACTATTACTTATAGAATTGTTATCTAATACTATTTTTTGTTTAACAATAAGCAAATAATTACTAGGAAAGTATTTAATGTATTTTTATTATTTTAATCTTTTGTAACATTAATGTTTACCATGACATGTATTTTAGAATTGACTTATAACATATACTGTAGATATAACTTATATATACTGCTCAAAACAATTAGCGGAACAAGATTTTTCTCATTTAAACTAAAATTAGATTTAAATTAACTTGTACGCTATTTTTTTACCTTGTTAATTTGTTAATTACTACAATTAATAAAAAAATCAATTTGTATTTTTTTTATTAAAAAAAAATTAAAATGTGCATTGTAGACGAAAAACTAATTGGTGATAAAAAAGGTCCATCAAAGAAATATTCTTATATCGTTTGAATATTCGTCTTTAGTGACTTTCAGTAACGTGTGTGGCCTCCATGAGCCCTAATCACGGCTTGACAAAAACGCGGCATGCTTCGTATGATCCTCCGAATATCTTCTTGTGGAATTCGCTCCCATTCTTCAATCAACGCTTCAGTGAGCTGCTGCAGTGTTTGAGGTGCAATCGGACGCTTCCGGATGCGCCTGTCAAGCAAGTCCCAAATGTGTTCAATTGGATTTAGGTCAGGGCTCATGGAAGGCCACTCCATTACACGGATTTCCTGCTGTCGTAAGTAATCTGACGTGATGGCTGCAGTATGCGGCCTGGCATTATCTTGCATTAAAAGAAAATCTGGGCCCATACCATATGCTGCGGGAAAAAATAAACGGTGGTATCCTTTATTAGATACAATGACTTTATTATTTCTCTTTTATTTTTTTTTATTATCAACACTTACTTACAATTTATTATATATTTTATTGTTTTGTATAAGTAGGAAATAACTGTTAACTGTGTTTTGTGTTTATCTTTGAATGTGTATTTAGCTTTTGTGTATAATGTAGTCAGTATTGTCTTTTATTGACATAACTTTCACACATTTGATAATAAAACAATTTTTTACCGGATTGAAGTTATGTATTTACAATTATTTTACATAATTTTAAATTTAACCGACGTTTCGCGTGCTTTACAGCGTGCGTGGGTGACTGAAAATAATTGTAAGTAAATATAACTTCAATCCGGTAAAAAATTGTTTTATTATAATGTACTTAGTTGTTTAGATATTGTATAATAAGTAGCTGTAGGAAAGTAAATGTAACCTCCATATTGTAGTGTCCCGTATTTTGTTTTGTATGTGTGTTTTACAAAGATTGTGAATAAACTAAACTCTTACGAACAAAAAAGGTATCTAAATTATTTTCTAAACGGTATCTGCTAACATTAGGTCTTAGTACATTGTTCTGTAAGGTTCTAGAACATTGATTGCAAAAAGTAAGAAGTTAATTCATACATTATTTATAAAACACGTGCGTAACATAATTTATTACTAACGACCTGTGGTTTAAACGTTTATTATATAGTAACACAATCAAGCCCATTACATTATACATATATTATTATATTAACAGTATTATCAATATAGAGCCGTTTTAAATTGTGTATTTGTTTACTTAAAATGGTTTCCATGTAAGTTATTGTAACTTTCTTACAACGTTGTTCCACAACTGAGCGTTTTTATGGCAGATTTTTCCGCGCACCACCACTATGTGGAGCCAGCTGCCCACTGAAGTATTTCCGGACCAATGTCATTCAAGAAAAGAGCGTACCAATTCTTAAAAGGCCGGCAACGCACTCGCGAGCCATCTGGCATTGAGAGTGTCCATGGGCGGCGGTATCACTTAACATCAGGTGAGCTTACTTCCTGTTTGCCCCCTGTTCTATAAGAAGAAAAAACTAAAGTTTCTTTTTATTCGTCTTATTATTTAAGTTATTAAAAACTAACCTAACCCTGATTATTTGAAAAATATCTGCACAAAAAATTTGTAATTTTTAAACCACTCACCCTGTCCTCAGTCTTCAGGCTTTTAACTGGTATTTTCGATAGAGCCTTTTTCGCGGCGCAGCAAAGTCGCTTCTGAAATAAGACATCAATCTAACTGACATTCGCTATCCCACTGGTGTCGACTAAAGAGAATAAAAAATAAATATTTTAAGGAAACTGTATTCGTACATCAACTGGAAGTTAATCCTACTAACATAGTACTCTTATAATATTTATTAATATATCTAAATGGCCTTTACTCAAAATGGACTCCATAAAAGCCCATATTGAATTTGGAAGAGTTCAAACTCATTTTTTTTGTCGTCGACTAATTTTAATCAAAATATACGTAGTTGGTCCCAAAGTTCTGTCACTAGCACATTATTTCTACATTTCGAGCAGGATTTTATAAAAAAATTATTGCATTCTATTTTGGAATGTTTGATTATTGTTTTAAAACAAAAAACAATAACTTTCGGTAATTTTTCACGATGGAGTGGACATTGAAAGTAAACCGAATAGTTGTTATTGCGTTGCACCGCTGTGGACACTCGCCGAGTACCATTTTCAAGTTGCTCAAAAAATTGAATATAACGCTTAGGTTTGTGTACGGTACTATTGATAGGTACCTTGAAGTCTCCAGTGTTGAGGACAAGAAAAGAACTGGCTGGCCACGCTCCGGCAAGAATACCAGCAGTAATCAAAGCTATCAAGGCGCGGATAGTAAGAAATCCTGTCCGAAAACAGAAGTTGATGGATTTGCAGATGGGGTCAGTAGGAAAACAGTAAAAAAGGTTTTAAATGAAGACTGGTCAGAGCAACAAAAAAGAGTGGGCACTTACTTAATGCTCGTCTAAAAGCAATAAGGCTTAAGAGATCGCGGGTGTTGTTTAGCGGTACGCGAAAACCGACCGATATCCTCTTTACGGACGAAAAATTTTTCGATATTGAAGAGAAGTACAATAAACAGAATTATACAGTGTACGTAGGAGTTTGAAGAAGCTGAAAATAAAGTTCCAAGGGTGCAATGGACATCATCCATCATCAGTAATGGTTTGGTTGGGAGTGTCCTATTACGGGCTAACTGAGGTTAATTTTTTTCGAAAAAGGGGTCAAAACCAGGGGCAAGAGACGGTTGGCTTGTCAAAGACGTCCAGCCTTGCGGGCCCTTCGTGTTCAGCAGGACTCTGCGTCTGCATACAAAGCCAAGACCACTAAAGCTGGTTTGAGCGTCAAAACATCGTCTTAATTAGACATGAGGATTGGCCTTCCTCCAGTCTGGACCTTAATCCTTTGGACCAGAAATTATGACAGGGCTTAGAGAGGAAGGTCTGTGATAAACCTCATGAAAATTTGGAGAATCTGAATTCATCTTTAAAAAAACCAGTGACTGAAAGACACGAAGGTGCGTGCTGGACGACTGGCCGCGACGCAAGGGCCTGTATTAAAAATGAGGAGGTTATTTCGAATATTTTTATCTTTTTTTATTCCTAATTAATGTACTAAGAATTGAAATCACTCATTACAAACTGATAGTATTTTTTTTTATCATTATTCCATTTATGACAGAACTTTGGGACCGACTACGATATGCAGTGGCGTAACAATAGGGTGGCAGGGCTGGCAAAATGCCACGGGCCCCCGACTCAAGAGGGCCCCTAAGGGATATTATGTTATATGGATGAATGTGAAGTCTCCAATTGGAGTCTAGCGTGGGGACTACAGACCATTCCCTCTCGCCTAAGAGAAGAGGCCTATGGCCATTAGTGGGACATATACAACGTGTAATTGAGTACGCTGAAAACCTCGAAGTTTATTAGAAATAAACTGAGTCAAATCATCAAAAGAATTTTCCACGAGCTTCAGATGGTATAGTTACGCCACTGTATATATGTGTGTGAGTATTTGTGTATATACGGTTTCAATATAAATTATCTTACGATATTGCAAATGATCAATTTTCGTAACATGCTCACAATTTTACACACAATAATCTATGTATACTAACCGATAATCTGTCTTTAGCGTGTATATATCTGAAGCGTTGTATATAGTAGAAGACCAGCCACGCCAGCGAGATTACCATCAGCACAATGAATGAGATCGAGACGAAAAGCACTGAAGTCCTGAAAGACAGATTAAAAGATTTAAACAGTAGACAAGAAGTTTGTTTTTGGGCATGTTTAATATCAAATAGGCAGAGTTTCCCTCGTGACTTCAGCATGCGACACTCTGAGGTCGTAGCTTCGAACCACTTATCACCAATATACGTTTATGTGTGCATTAAGAGTCGCTCAAATGGTGAAGGAAAACATCGTAAGGATACCCGCATGCCTGCATACAAAAAGTCTGATCTAAAATCTGAAAGAAGGCTGACCACTGGCTACCACTGATCACCTTCTAATAAATAAAAAAGCAATGGTCTGGAAATAAATATAGAAATCTGAGCCCCAGACCTAAAAAGGTTTTTATATCAAATGCCGCCATATTACATTTCTATTATTGCTCTTTTTGTAAGTAAAATAAAATAAAATATAAAAATATGTTTATTATGGAACATAAGATACATGTATCACTTATTCCACGTCATTAAATTTGAATTTGTAGGCATCCCTACTCATCGGCAAAGAAGACAGAGGGTGTAGGCCGAGAGAAAAAGCCGGCGTAAAAAACTCTCGGTACTCTTTTAAAAGTAACTTGATATCTAAGTTTTTAGCAATATATAATTTTTGATTATTATTTTTACAATTTACGAATCAAACTAAAGCATTAGCCTTAGCTCTTATAAATAACACTCAATCAGTCTACACTATTTTAATTCAAGTATTCATGCGCTTGAAAAATTATAAATCAGTAATGTGTATTAGACCAAACTGGAATCGGCACCTTTATGCGTGTTAATCAAATGCATTTTTTATACGATACTTACTTATTAATATTATTATTGATATGTGTAAAAGTTTGGCCTCGTACGATGGAGATCATAACTCGAGTTCCATTGTCCACCAGCCGAGTGATTTCCGCTCCTTTCCACTTGTATGTAAATATAGCGCTTATGTTACCTGAAATATAAAACTTCATATGAGTCTATCATTCATAGACAATTAACTCTGTCATCTATGATCATTGAATTTTGACAGATCCCTTAGAGATCTGTGTCGCAAGTTTTAAAAGCACCTGTTTGACATATGTTCCTTAGTCCAATAAATTATTTAAGAGTTGTCTTGAACTATTATTGTTGCTTTATTATCCGGAGATCATGTAAAAAAGAAGAAACGAAGTAGCTGAATTGCTAATTCATGTATAATTTAATCATTCGGAATTTCCACAATTCACTTACACTATTTTACACTACCACCCTCCACCTCCCATCCCATCCATCCCTTCCTTAAGATTATCATTCTAGTGTGTACAAATGTCTCAAACACGTAAACCTGTATCTTTAGTTTAGTAATAAGTTTTAGCTTTCTATTTTTCTTTATAATATAGAATTTTGGTTTCAATTATTAAGTTACTATTTCATTAAACCGTTGGAAGTGCGGAGTACCCTGATGTACAGGTCTCCTTAGACTTAGTTCAGGGGCTCCAATATCTGCTAAAAATGTAACTTGTTATTGAATAAAAAAAATTGAATTTGTTTTTTTTTTTAATTTTTTTGAAAAAAATTATGCCATCAGGACCAGAAAACAATGCGGTAATAGAAATAATAGGTTTGCTGGTAACGTAATTATTGTTAATGGTAAACTGTTAATCAGGCTTATGGCTAAATAGTCACTCCCCATAATTGCATTATATGAAGAGCTCATCCCATGCCATATTTATGGTGGGCTAATGAGATCAGAGCTAGGGTTTCATTGCCAAGGTCTCGGAGAAATGCTTATCAGGCACGTTTGCTGCGTCAACAGTAGTGTCATATTTCGTATGTCCATACCGGGGTGAGGCAATGGGCTGTGTAATATTTTTCAGATAAGAGCTAATATCGTAATACACTTGTTGCTAGTTCAGTCTAAGTAATCATCCTTTTGGAGATAAGGGTTAATTATAAATTGTATTAAAAATACATATGTGTAAGATCCAAAGGGTACAGTTTGTATAGCATTGGGCGTTAAAAGTATTCCGACAAATAAGGTCAATAACACAAAAAAAACGTGTATGTACTTATGTACACGCATTAGAAGGTATACTTCTTTGCCGTAACGAGATAAAAATCTTTTCAAAAATTTTATTCTACGTTTGTAGAAAAAACGACACTAACAATAGAAAAAACTAAAATGTTGACTATAGCTAACTTCAGGGTGTCGGTTTCTTGTGACGGTGTGCGCGCGCATCGTAAAAATTTACTCTCATTATTTTTCCCTAACGCGCCAAAAGAAGTATAACTTCAAAAGCCCCTGGGTTACTGTGAATTTTGGCCATTCAACTAATTAGTAAAATGCAGTCTTAACTTAGTAAAAACATTGTTTAAAAGTTTGGATAACCTAACACATGAGTAAACTACCTTGAAACTATTATTTACAATTATTATTAGCGTTTATCAAAATAATGGTTAAACGTGTTTACACTTTACATGCAGATGTCACGAATCACGAATGAAACGCGCAATAATTCTAATTACTTCGCAATCATCTTCAATGGTTGCGTTTAATCTACTCGTAAGTCCTATTCAATTAAGCGCGGTGTCGCGTGTCAATTGTCAAATTACGCGCCCTTTAGCTGTCAAAAGGTGGCTGGTGAGTGGTGACTACCGTGGGAAATTAAAAGGTTTCTTCAAAGTTCATTTCAGACTAATGTTTCAGTAACGGCAACACACGGTGTTTGCCATTGTCTTCCACGTATCTCCTTTTCTATCATAGTGCGTATAAATTTTCATGTGAAAGAAATGAGAAAAAAACGTGAAAAAACATAAGTTTGACGTTTCTTTATTTGTATTATGAACAATAATCATGACCTAATTATAGAATAATCTAGAAATAATATAAACAAACACGTATTAAGTTAATCTGTTTTATACAGAAAATTCTAGATAAGTTCCGATACATTATAACATCCTCATTACGGATTATGATTAGATTAATTATTAAAGTCTTATTTAGTCAATATAAAACGTATAGTATACAAGCATATCAGCCCTAAGATCATCACATGGTATTTATTTTAATGTTTGACTTTGACATTATAAGGGTCTCCCTAGTCTCCGAACACAAGGAGTTCTGATTTAGTAAATATTTTTTATTCCCAGAGAATATAAATTCCACCAATAAAATGATTGCAAGACCTTTAAGGAATTGAAAACAAAATAAACATTCAAAAATTTTTCCCAAATCATTTCGGGGCATCATTGGAATTGCGTCTCACTAGTCGTAACTTGATTTCGTGGTTGCTTTGGTAAGGGTTCTTGTATCGCATATATTCCTTGAGCTAGTAATTATCATGTTGTATTTGATTGATATGTATGTGGATATAATAAATTCATGTTTTCCTATCTCAGGATCCTGCGCAATTACATCTCAATACAAAATGTTAAAACCATAATAATTTATTATTGAATTCGTGACTATATGATATTATGTCTATCTCGAAATTGTATAGCAAATCGATTATATCCTAGACTACGCAACATATTTTTATTTTATAAGTTGGTTTGCATTATTAGGAGTTCAACAGAAAGATTTTTATGTATATTTTTGAATATTGCTGTATATAGTTGCCTAAAATAAAATTTTGATTTGATTTGTTGTATGTCTCTATCCGTCAGTACCTACGCAATTTTTTTACTACGCACTCCTGTTACTTTTAAATTGACTAACTCATTTAGCTGTAATACATTTGTAGGTCAGCGAATAACTTTATGAATCAACCTAACACATGTTAGTTAAAAAATACGATAAAAATAATTTCTAAAAAACGTATTCTAAAAAGGACAATTCCACTGAAATCCACAGTACATGAGTAACTGGGTCATATAGCAGTTCTAACATAGTATAGTACAAGTCTAAGTATAGACCTAAACTCGTCCTTATGTAGGTTAATATCCTATTCTAGGACATGTTGGCTAGGAAATTTAAAACTACCTCTATTATTATTCGTCTTACTTGTGATCGTTCGTCGATTTGCACACATTAAATATTCTACATATAAAAAGTAAATTAATAAGTTGTTAGCCATAAGTTATTATCGCTAACAAAGGATTTCTTTAGGCAATAAAAGAAAAATATCGTATTTTTTTTTACACTTTTGTTTAGTGTGTATCAGCTGTCACACAAGTCAGTATAGGCCCACTGAAAATGAGTGTAGCTGGTGACAGTAACAGAAAGCTGAGATGGGCCAATTGATTATTAAAATGTTTGTATTTCCGTTTTTTATGTATGTGTGCAATTAAATAATTGTTTTTTTTTCTTCTTTCTTTTATTCAAAATCTTCACACATTCTGTGTAAAAGGCGGTCATATAGTCAAAGGTATTTTAATAAGACCGTTTCTAGGATATATCGCCAACGTGTGTATAATGTTTAGTAGTGATTTGCATTGTTTTTATCCAGAATCTGCAAAGGTCTGACTTAAAGTATTAATAAAGAACTGTGATAAAGTTTATATCCTTAAATATAATGCATTGAAGGTGGAATGAGTATAGATAGCGTTTGGGTGACTATGGTTTAAAAAATGTCTAATTCTAATTCTTATATGTCAAATATATCAAACTTCATACAAATAAAAATGTTTGACAGCTCTTTAAACTAGATTTAAGTTGACGGTGAGGTTGATGTTCGGTCCGTCTTCTAGGCGTATAAATAAAAAAATCTGTAGCGCTACAACCTCTTTAGGTCTTGGCCTCAGATTTCTTAATCTGTTTCATGATCATTTTTCAATCTAATAGGCAAGTAGGTGATCAGCCTCCAGTGCCTGACACACGCCGTCGACTTTTTGGGTCTAAGACATGTCGGTTTCCTCACGATGTTTTCCTTCACAGTTCGAGCAAATGTTAAATGCGCACATAGAAAGAAAGTCCATTGGTGCACAGCCGGGTATCAAACCTACGACTTCAGGTATGAGAGTCGCACGCTGCACTAGGCCAACACTGCTCTAGACGTATACCCTGCGAATTTCTACGTGAGTTCCCAATAAGGCTACAACTATAATAAAGTATACCCATCTTTATTATGTTCGTAATTTTGTAATATACTTAATCATATATGATAAAACGTAGATAAATAAGCCTGATAACCCAAAAATATTGTGCTATCAGAGACCAGCATTAACTTGTCATTTCCATAAAATTTCGATATAAATGTTTCCAACATGCAAATTAAACTTGTCTCGTTATTCCCAAATGGAAGATATACTCGTATAAAATAGGTTTGTGCTAAGGATATAACATTCATAGTCGAAACTTGGCTTAGAATGACTCCCGTGTGTCAAAAACGATTAAACGTACGTCAGAGTTCACACCTAGTGTTCCGTTTCAAGCAATTATTGTAAATCTAGAATCTACAGGTTAAAAGCATTCGTAAGATAGCTATTGTTTTGACTATAATTATCCGAATACTGCAATAAACGTTAGTTGAATGAATGCTGTCTCCGACACTATCGACTTTGTGGGTGTACAGTAGCGATATTGTGTATATTATAAATTTAATATTATATTTTAGCGGATAACCCATCTTGTAGCAGAAACCTATATAAAGCATGGCAACACCGGCGTTGACTCACTTTTATTTCTAGACTTCGTGCGAACGGGCTTGTTACTAACCTAACCTCGGTAGATTTTAAAAGTCTAAAGTACCTACACGTTCTAATCTTTTGTGTTTCCTAATATCAGAAGTGGGATTTGAACTTTTCGCTCCTTCCTTTTGTTTTGTTTTGAGTAATTTGTGGTTAAATTTCCTTCTCTTGTGTCCGGATTGTACGAAGTCACAAGTGATTAACATTTAAAAGTGCTCTGTGTTAAAATGTTGTTTGTGTTTGTGAGTGAAAGTGTTGCATTAAATTCGAGATCGTAGTAGAAGGTAGAGAGAGATGCTGAAGAGGACGGCCGAACGGTTGAAGAACAGTGAAATCAATCAGGACACTGTCGTTATGGGGTGGACCCCCTTGTAAATTCAGAAGGATGATTGGTTTTGTTATTAAGAACATGAAAGGTATGGGTTTGTAAATGGGGCTAAGGTTAGACCATTTGAGAACATACAAGTGTAGGGCTGAAGTTTTTTGGTGTAATGTGTTTAGACCACTAGAGAACATGCAAAATGTATGAGTCTTGTTTCAAAAATTGTCGATGAGAGCCTAGGAGCCTGTCGATACGACGGTGTATTGCAAATATATGAGTTTTATCTTTATTTGTGTTAAGTCTGAAGCTATCTAATTCTGTAATATTTGTTTTGAAAGATCAATGGAAGGGTAACAGCCCCAAACTCACGATCTTCCTGTATAAATGGTAAAAGATAAGGAAGGGTAACCAGTCCCGAACTACGATCTTCCTGTATAAATTGTAAAAAAGATCAATGGACAGGGTAACCAGCCCCAAACTCACGATCTTCCTGTATAAATGGTAACAAGATCAATGGACAGGGTAACCAGCCCCAAACTCACAATCTTCCTGTATAAATGGTAAAAAGATCAATGGACAGGGTAACCAGCCCCAAACTCACGATCTTCCTGTATAAATGGTAACAAGATCAATGGACAGGGTAACCAGCCCCAAACTCACGATATTTTTGTATTAATGGTAAAAAGATCAATGGACAGGGTAACTAGCCCCAAACTCATGATCTTCCTGTATGAATGGTAAAAAGATCAATGGACAGGGTAACCAGCCTCAAACTCAAGATCTTCCTTTATGAATGGTAAAAAGATCAATGGACAGGGTAACCAGCCCCAAACTCACGATCTTCTTGAGAAATAAGTACACCTTTATACCTTATGGTGACACTAAACTTGTAATTGTTTACACAAGTCCTTTACACATGAAAGTGATAGTTTGTTTCAAATCTTGTAAGGGTTATAAATAATCTTTCACTCATTCCTTGGAGTCTGATACTTTAAAGTTCCTTTCTATCTTTCATTACTTTGATTGTTTGTATTAAACCAAGTAAATATGTTAGCTGTGACCAAATAGACGACGCAATACCTTCCCAGAACTGTAATTTTCTAACGTTCTATTCTACTCACAGACATGACAGTATAGACGCTGGGACATCAAATCCTGACGAGGACGTCAGGGTGTCAGGAGAGGCCGTGTTAGCGGACTAACGCCATCTTGTAGCAGAAACCTATATAAAGCATGGCAACACGGGTTGACTCACTTTTATTTCTAGACTTGTGCGAACGGGCTTGTTACTAACCTAACCTGGTAGATTTTAAAAGTTAAAGTACCTACAGTTCTAATCTTTTGTGTTTCCTAATATTATATTTTATTTTTTTCGACATTATCATATTTGCTTAGTTCTGTAAAGATAGTGTTTGTACTTGAAATAGAACGTAATAGTTCATACATATTTACTATAGCTAGAAATACTGAATCTCAGATTTAATTAAAATTTATTGTTCTATTTTTTATTGATACTAAATGGTTGGCTGGAGATCGCTTGAAAACGACAAGAGCTTCTTTTGTTTTTATATAATAGGGTGCAAACGGGCAGGAGGCTCATCTGATGGTAAGTGTCGCTCGTGCTCATGGATATTATCAATTCCAGAAGGGGACTGATGATGAACCATTATTTAAGCCTTTATTTATTGAACATTGTCTTTTTATTATTGACGGGTTCTTATTGTGTTATGTGTTTAAAAGAAACGTTAACTTCACTGCTACTATGTTACGCCTTGATCTATTCGATAAACATATTGGTTCGTGTTTCGTGTTCGTGTGTGGGAGTTTATCGTATATTTCAAAAGAGCTCTAAATATTTTCATAAGATTTAATTCATTATTATAATATGTACAATGTCTGATAGTACTATCTGTAATTCCAGAGGAACTGGCGCAGTCGTCTACCTACATATTATCATACCTCCCTTTATCAGTCATCAGCATAATAAAATAATATAGTAAGTTTTATAAAAAAATAACAATTATGAGTAATGTTGGCTTAGTGACATCAGTGTGCGAGTCTCATGTCCGAGATTCTAGGTCGAAGCCTGGCTGTGCACCAACGACTTTTCTGTCTATGTGCCTTTAACACTTGTTCGTACAGTGAAGCAAGACATTGTGTGGTAACCTACTTATTAGATAAAACCAATGATCACGAAATAGATAAAGAAATACGCCACTGGTTTTTTCTATCGTGCCAACTTCTCACTATTTTGAATCAATATAAAAGTTAACAAAAGATTAAGATTTGATCAACAAAATAGGGAGAACAAATCTTTTATTAGAAAAAGATGCAAAATAAAGTTTTGAGTCCTTGTAAATAGCTGTATATTTAAATGTTTAGTTTACATAACAGTTTATTTAATTAAGATAACATTACTAAACATACATTAGATAATATAGATTAAGATTACACTAACTAGATGTAATGAATCCGTACTCACGCCCATTGTCAGTGGATAATTTCATTTTTTCCAACATCGGTGTATCTCTGTCGTTATATATGAGAACCGCCGACGCATTCGCCTTCCAAGCGTTCTGCACCTGAAAGTAGATATTCCAGTAATTTAATTCAAATAATTATTTCAATCCCTTTACCCGTAAAGGGGTCATAATCTCTACTATATAAAAATAAGTCGGGTTTTCCTTCCTGACGCTATAACTCCAGAACGCACGAACCGATTTCCACGGTTTTGCATTCGTTGGAAAGGTCTCGGGCTCCGTGAGGTTTATAGCAAAGAAAATTCAGGAAAAATTTCAACAGAAAAGTGGGATCACCAAACGAAATGTTACATAAAACGAAGCCATCTGGTGGCGAAACGGAGTTCGCCGAGTTTGCTAGTGATTTATAAAAATTAATTTTGATTCTTTTTAATTTATTTATCATTTAATATTTATATACATTAAAATTATTAATCATGATTGGAATTTATATTTAAGGATTATAAATAGTAATATGGTATTTTTTTTAATGCATGCATATTATGTAATTATTAATCATATGGTATGGAAATAAAGAGGCTATAATAATAATTATTATTATTATTTAATTCGTCAATTGCTTAGTGCACCCGGACCGGAGCTAAGAGCGAATAAATCATAAGAGTTGCTATCCATTTGGATTAGATTTAAACAAAATAACAATAGATTCAAAATCTAAAAACAGGTATTTCAATGCTCTTTATTTTCGAAAATCATTGGTTAAGTTATCAGGCATTTAATTTAGCTAGATTCTTTAGATATATAGTAACAGTTGCCATTAGAATCCTTGATAGACGAGAAAAAGGAAGTTTCTTATATACTTTGGTGAATATTTAATTTAATAACATTATTCCAAAAATCTTCACTGAATGAATCGTATTTTTAACTGTTTTTAAATGCGTAGTGCAAGTTATTTTTATAACATGTTAATTTTCCTGTTTCGTTACCTACATGATACATCACGACATTTACAACGTGCAAAATGCTTGTATTATTGAATTAAACATTGTATGGTAAGATATTATCCACAAACCGAATATAAATTGATCAGTGGTGTTTTTTTAAATTGTATCTATAGTAGACTCGTACATACTCGTATAAATAAGGGAAAATATATATGGTATATGTATAACGTAGATAAAAGTAAGTAAAATTTTTTACCATTCTTTTTATATGGTAACGTCGTAACCATGGCATCAAATACGGTATAAACTTAATTCCGGTTTTATATGGACGTGATGTTTCATGCAGCCGAACATCCTTTCTTTTAGCTTTAGATATTACCAAACATGAGCGTTTACTTTATAAAATTTCTAACCCAACTCTTGAAAAATCAGTCGGTACAAACAGCAAAATATGGCAAATAGTTAAGTACCTATTATTTATGAATTGTTTCCTAGTTACGGACCGTGAATGGGAATAACGGATTTCCTTATATACAACTCAGAAATAAACCAATCAAAATCAGAATAATTATACAATATTAAAATTTTATTGTTGTTAAACAATTTTTTTTTAATATATAAATAATCTTTATATACAGGCACCGATATGTACGTAGAAAGTCTTTTAAGTATAATCATTATAATTAGGTAAAACTACTATATACATTTTGTTGATTGCCTTGAATAAGACAAGAACTGCTCGCAAAATAATTGAAAAACAAGGGAGTAATGAGTCGAGGAAGAAGGCAGGTAGAAATATTGAAATTAAAATATTATGTAAAATAGATTTTGGATGCATGAGTAGGTACTATAGCGTATAAATAACTAATCTCGGTTTTTTAAAATCAAATTCAGATTTAAATTAACGTATTTAATATGAAACATCAGAGTCACGAAGTCATGCATCTTTCATTACCCGTAACTACTTTACGATTCAAATACGGTTTTGAAAAATATTGTTTATTTAAATACCAAAATGCAAATTCTGAAAAAGTAGCTGATACACAAATTCTTAAAATATTTAAGAAAAAAGATTAACGTTTAAGCCTTAATCATCAAAGTATGATCTAGCTGAAATTAATATTAATACAATTAATTAATATAATATCTAACTACCACATATTTTAAGCGTATTAACAAAAAATACCAATTTGAGAACTGGAGAAATTAAGAATAAGAAAAAAAAAAAAAAAAAAACCCAATTCGTATTCCGTGACAATCATCATATCTCGTTGCAGACTTTACTTCCGTGACAACATCAAATTCTTTTACCTTGATCTCAAAATTGCAACTGCCTCGGCGTATGACGGCGATCCAAGGCTCAGTTGGGAGCGGTTGCGTAGGAGCAGCCGTCGAGATTAGGGGCAGCTGACAGCCCGTGTGGTCGTGGGCCCCCTGTGGACCCCTACCACGAACGTGCACGGCTATGCCATGGGCATTACTGACTATCCCCTCGCCGTACTTCCCGGACTGAAAAGATGGAAACTTTGTGTAAATATATGGTTTATTCTCATAACATGGTTTATTCTCATAACAAAGGTTTGCAGGAGTCGTAGCGATAATATAATTACACACAATAAGCCAAGATACAGGTAATACGTATTCGAGTTATTTATTCGTTATGGACTTTGCCCTAAGACGCCTTAGCACATTTTAACAGTGCTTGTCAATTTTCAAAAGATTCCAAATATAGGCAAACAAATTCATAGATAATTTAATAGTAGTTGTATTAAATTTTTTATCTTCCCGACGTTTGACCGGGATTAATTTTTTATCTTCACGTTTGTTAAGAAAACTTATTTATAGGACTGGCGTAGCCACTTATCCAATAATATATAATAATATTCCTAATATAGATATATTTATATTCCTATTCCTATACATTCATAGGCGACTGGGGCCCGCCGTATCGCGTATGCGCGTTTTTGTTGCAGTGAGAGACTTATTTTACAGGTCTATTGCATAAATCGAAGAATGTGCGACATTTTGATAGTTTATATCTGTTAAATACACTTTTTATATAACATTCAAATGTATGTTTATTTAATTGCGTAATGTAATTAATGTAGAAAATTTTTCCATTGGACCTCCTTTCGGTGCGTTTAGACCTTGGAAATTGTGTATTCAACGCACAACAATCTCTATATGGCCAGCTTCGACATCTGTCACGCAAAGAAACAACAATAGTAAACGTATAATCATGTGCAAAACACCACTTAATATGATAAATATTATATAGCGTAGGTAGGATAACGTTGATCAATTAATGCTATTTAAGTTCAGAAAAACTGACATCAATTTATGTATAATAATTTAATTTCTCAAATTACAATATCAAAGTGACGTCCCGCAAGTAGAAATATCTCCCAGTAGAAATGTTTCCCAACCCGTCTTTGTATTAAAATGAAACAAGTGACTAGCTTGCTTTTCACAAAACAAAACACAATCTAAACTCGGCAAAGAAACTGCAACATAGTTGTAAGAGCCCATTCTGTATTTATATTCCCTTGCCTAATTCAAAAAGAAGTCATCTTCAAAAGCAGGCCAAGAGGGTATTTCGCTGACAATTGCTTTAAGGAGTCAAGACATACTTTCATTGTACTGAAATAACAAACGCTAAACTAGATCACACTGGAAATAAAGCCTATTATGTTGAATGTTTTTTATAGAATAGCTAAACCTTCGTGGCTTACTTGGTAGCCTGTAGGCCCTCTGGGTGATACCAAAACAATTATTGCGGGTTGTCCCTCCATTACAAGACTATAAAGACTATCTACATAGAGCCGTGTTGGCGTTGTGGTTTCAGCGATTCTAGCGACTCTCATCCCTGATGTTGTAGGTTCGATCCCCGGCTGTACACCAATGGACTTTCTTTCTATATGCATATTTACATTCGCTCGAACGGTGAAGGAAAACTTCGTGAGGAAACCGGCTTGCTTTAGACCCACGGCGTGTGTCAGGCACTAGAGGCTGATCACCTACTTGCCTATTAGGTTGACAAATGATCATAAAAAACAGATACAGAAATCTGAGACCTAAAATGGCCACTGATTTTTTAATTTTTTAACTATTTACTAGTGAAACAAACTCAAGTTTGTTTCATTGAGGGGAGAAGGCCCTGAATTCGATTGCCGGTGTATTATAATTGTCATATAATGGAAGGCGCTGAGGATTTGCTTTTTAAAATAATGTGCCACAAACATTACAATATGGTTGCCTCATGCCTCACTTCGGTGACAGGAAGTTGCTACCCAGATGTACTATTCATACACATGCTTGTTTAAAATGATATTAAAAACATTTATCAATTTTTTTATAGTAAAGGGGGGCAAACGGGTCCATGGACATTCAGCGGGAGCGTTGCCGGCCTTTAAGGGAAGAGTATACTCTTTCTTCAAACAATTGGAGATTGTATTTCCCCACCGGGAGTCGATTCCATAGATTGCCATTTCGCAAAAGAAAGTGTCTTGTCGAGCGGACAGACTTCTAGCCATCAATGCTGATCTAATAACATATTTGGTTTAATTTGCTGATACGATATTTCTATTTATATTTAGTTACACAAACCTATATAGTACAGTTAACTCCAATAGAGAAATACCAAATGGAACAATAGAAAATATTTTCAAACACCTAATGGGCTTATACCAAACATTTGTGTTTGTTAAGCAGTTGCGCGTACGCCGATCTTAAACAATGTTACGTAAATCGCGAAAACATGTAAATCAAGCGCGTGTAACAATATTGGTAATTCTGCTAATATAGCTAATTTATGCGCTAATAAAACTAGATATTTTATTAAAACTTAAAACACACCCACAGATTTATAATAAATCAAAAGGAATATTATCAATAACGCTTCCTTATAGAATAGAAGGTACACGAGAGCAGTGATGCGAGTTTCAGAGTGAAAGATGAAGATGAGCAGTATTGGCCTAGTGGCTTCAGCGTGTGACTCTCAGCCCTGTGATCGTAGGCTCGATCCCCGGCTGTGCAACAATGGACTTTCTTTCTATGTGCGCATTTAACATTCTCTCAAACGGTGATGGAGAATATCGTGAGGAGCCGGCTTGCCTTAGAAAAGTCAACGGCGTGTGTCAGGCACAGGAGGCTGATAAGACTTTCCTATTAGATTGAAAAATTATACAGAAATCTGAGGCCCAGACCTACAAAGATTGTAGCGCCACTGATTTGTGTATTTAGTACAGTGAAAAACATCGGCATAGACCCAAAGGCGTGTAAGATGGCTGATCATTTAGCCATTTATTAGGAAAAATAAATTGATTACGATACAGAAATCTGAGGTCTGCTAAAAGGTTGTAACGCCAGAGTTTTTTTTTTGGTACACGAGAGACTTGCCTCTCTCTCTCTTTTTTTTCTCTTGGTTTCTTTTGGTTTGTATATATAGCATACTCAATAACATTACTACAATTACATTATTAACGCGGCGTCCTTTTTCGTCTTCAATCTTAATTCTAATATATTAGATCAAAAAACAAGTTTTGTTTCCTCACAATCTATTATTAATTTAAGTGTAAAGATTAATTTGTAATTATTTTATTGCATCGCGCCTATCTTATAATGTATAGCTCGAGGGTGTGTTGCCAACCTTTTATGCCATGCAATCAATGCATTTGTGAGTAATACCTAAATGTATCTTATATCTGACGCATAGCCGATATAGTTCTCTCAGGTTGAAATACAACATTAAAGTCGGGATCACAATTGCTATTAAATATTGTTTAGAACTCTTTTAAGACACATAAATCTTTTGAAATCAGATAAAATCACAGAACAATATTTATTCACGGCGTATATACACGTTACACACATCACAAAATCAAAATAAAAAATCATTTAAAAATGAAAACGCAGGCACTAAATGATGAATTTAATATAATAAACATGCAAAATCGTTCTATTATTAAAACTTAATTATACTCAATACAAAATGGGAATTTGATCAGCAAAATAGGCTCGTAGCTTTACGACATTTACTCGCGTTTCCGCTTCCTTATGGCGGGTGACGTCACATGTTTTTATACGAATTGTAAAAAACACCTTTAACGATAATTTGCAGGTATCAAATGCGAGTTAACATTTCTTGATAATTGTAATTTACATTGTAATTGTAGATCAACGCATTAGGTACTTCTAGAAATAATTCAATAGATAATTTAACGAAATGAAACGAAAAATTGTTTTATATTTGTATACGCAACGTAAAAACAGTTTTTAATATGTCTGCTCTGCAGTAAAATATACACTAGCCCTACAATCCCTCGTTCTTTGCCCTATTTTTGAGGTTTGATAAACGAAACATACCGCGAACTATGACATATCAAAGTCCAATACTTTTCTGACGTACGGAAGTTAAACTTAGCGCTAAGTACGACCGCCGTCAATGCTATACAGGAGGATCTAATTAATTTCCTTCAGGTTTCATCATGATATTTTCCTTTACAAAGGGAGAGAAGTGTTAATTACGCACACAAAAAACCCATAAACAGCTCGTCACAACAATGTATAATTATAAATTTAAACGAATTTTTAGTTTACATTTAAAACAATTAAACCAGCATAATGAACTCTAAGGTCATTATAGTGCAGGGCAGTGTGAATCATGCGCGGAAACACAATATAGCACAATATTTTGTATATATGCGAAAATAGTCGTTATACAATGGTAATAAAGTTTATATTGAATTGTTATTAGATGTTTATTATTAGCGGCCGGCGCGCGTATCAACAATTTAGTTGAACGCAAACAATTCGATTAAAATGTGTGCTATAATTTGATACCGTTAGTACAATATTCAATTATTAGCTAAGCAAAGATCGGTGCCAGAAGGGTAAACAAAAATATTGTTATCACGTCACATTTTTCCAATCCACCTCGCTTCGTCTAATTTTAGTCTTTGAAAAATTGATATCATAGCTTTTATTTGTTGTAGAGAATTATAAAATATTATCTTATATTCAAGGTTAATTAATAAATAAATAGAAGAAAGCTCTCTCCCAATATCTACAGAGATTACGATTCCTTCAACATTAAGTTTTAGTAACATGGTTACACTAGCACTGTGTTTATTGAGAAATTGCGTAAGTACGTTCGTGAAAACGTCAGAGTTATGAAGTCCGAGAGCTACGATTATTTTTGATGTTTATAAGACGCACTTTTGAAAAAGTGGATAACTTTGTAGGACATAAGTAATAATAAATAATTTAAACAAAAGCATGTTGATTTCCATATTTATTAACACATTTACATATTAATAAGAAAGAACAATTTGGGAATACAAGTAGACTGCGATTTAATCGCTAACAATGTCGCGCAGGCAACCCGATTGAAGGAAAATAATAAGATTGTGAAGTTATGAGATTTTATTGCAAAAAAAACCCTTTGACCATGTAATGATAATAATTTATAACAATCACGACTTTTAACTAGACAGATTACAAGAACGGGA